TCAGGGTTGACTCAGCCTTCCATCCTTCCGAGGTGGGTAAAATGAGGACCCGGATTGTTGGGGGCAATATGCTGACTCTCTGTAAACCGCTTAGAGAGGGCTGAAAGCCCTATGAAGCGGTATATAAGTCTACTGCTATTGCTATTGCTATCATCAATTGTTGAATATTTTCAATTTTTTCCTCTGAATAACCTGTCTTTTGTTCTATATTTTCTGTTTGTTGTTCTATCGTCTTAATTCTCTTTTCCATGTTCTCTGTTCTTTTTTCAATGGTTTCTGTTCTCTTTTCAATTCTCTCTGTCCTTACTTGTAGTTTTTGTATTCCTTGCATAATCACCTCTAATGTGACTCCCTTCTCTTTTTCCTGTTGAAGCATCATCTGTATTGATCTTTGTCCTCCTGCAGGTGAAGAGGAGGGTGTTATTGTTGCCAACAGCTCTTATTTTTTTACTCATCTTCAAAGTTTGGGGTTTTTTTGTGTTTTAATCCGCCTAATGTGAGGTGGGATTATAATCCCAAGTAATTATGGAGAGGTCAAAAAATAGAACAATAAACAAGGGTTAAGAGACAACACAAAAAAAGCCAAAAAGAGAAAAAGGAGAAATATACAATAATATAAAAAACCAAAAAGGTAAAAATCTTTAATCTCTTGTATGCCCTTATCCAATTGGTTCCAATTAGAAAAGAAAAAAGAGGGGGAAAGGGAGCAAAAAGGGGGAAAAGGAACAATCCCCAAATAGGAATATCGAAGTATGAAAATGCAAAAATTATGTCTATTTTTAATCAAAAATCTGAAAGTCAGCAAAAGCCACTGGGCTAGGATTCAGGGATGGTAATACGTGGACCCCATGTGAGGAATCAAGTGAATTGTTTAGGAATGTCCTCTGAATCTCCCCTGAGGAGATTTCAACCAACAGAATGCATTGGCTTGCTGTGCTTCCCTATTTGGTTCACAGAGCATCATTTTGGATTCTTCCCCATTTGCAATGCAGTGAAGTCACATAAATTCAATGTCATTGAACCACAGTGTCTGCTCTGAAGTACAATTTTAAAAGGAAAGGAATATAATAGCAGTATCACTTAGACTTACCGGTATATACTACTTCATAGTGCTTTACAGAGTCAGCATATTGCCCCCAACAATCTGGGTCCTCATTTTACCCACCTCGGAATGATGGAAGGCTGAGTCAAGCCTGGTGAGATTCGAACTTCTGAACTGCAGCTAGCAGTTAGCTGAAGTAGCTTGCAATACTGCACTCTAACCACTGTGCCACCATGGCTCATATCCCATACCGATGATCTGGTAGTATGGCAGCCATGATGTATGAAGGCCCAACTTCCAAAGCCTCCTGCTGTACCAGAAATGTATTTCTATCTCCAGTGAAGTGGAAAGAAAGAGCTATCATACTCACATAGGATCATAATGTGTCTAATAAATAAATAATCACAATCCAATCAAAGTAGAAAGTAAAGTCGATTTATCCTAAGAGAACCTTCATTTAACTCCCCCAGTAGAACCTGGAACCAGAGATTTTAATTACTAATGCAAACATCATCTTTCCTAATGAGATCTAAAATATGAAGCACATTTTATTGACTCATATTTCATGGCGGGTCACAAGTAAAAATTAAATGAAGTTTTCCTACTATTAACTGATTGTTGATTGGAATTGCATGGAAATAATAGCTAGCTATTCAGAATATCCATTAACCCCTCCAAACAATGGGCAGAAAGTACAGGCTATCTGTTCCTTATCTGCTTTCTATTGTATCATTTTGATATTGTTCATCTTTGCTACATATCAAGCAGGAAAGCAAAAAATAATAATAATAATCAAATAGTGCTGTACATATTCAGAATTTGGAATGGGAATGGAATTAGGTGATTTAATCCAACCTCTGTCGATTGAAATAATGCTTCAATTTATTTCGGTTTGAATGATGATGGAATTTCTCAACATACTTTTATTCACTCTTTTCATTTATTTGGGGCAGAAATAGAGTCATTTTCCAGCAGTTGAAAGCTGTTTAACAAATAAAGATAACTCTTTCATTTCTGGGAAAAAATAAATACTGCACACTGCAAAACTTACTACTTGTAACCTAATGTTCTCTGAGGGACAGTGGCTCAGTGGCTAAGACACTGAGTTTGTCAATCAGAAAGGTCAGCAGTTCAGTAGTTCGAATCCCTAGCGCTGCGTATTGGAGTGAGCTCCCGTTACTTGTCCCAGCTTCTGCCAACCTAGCAGTTCAAAAACATCTGAACATGCAAGTAGAAAAATAAGAACCACCTTTGGTGGGAAGGTAACAGCATTCTGTGCGCCTTCGGCATTTAGTCATGCCAGCCACATGACCACAGAGATGTCTTCAGACAGCGCTGGCTCTTCAGCTTTGAAATGGAGATGAACACCACCCCCTAGAGTTGGGAACGACTAGCACATATGTTTGAGGGGAACCTTTACCTTTACCTAATGTTCTCCAAGGACCAATTCCCATCATCACAAATCTGCAGAGGTAATATTGATGTTGGTTGCAGAAAGTACACCTTGAACTCAAATAATCCTAAGGTCAAGTGATTTGAAGGACCATTATTGTATCAGTACATTACAGTAGGATGAAGCAAATAACACTGAGGTTGTACCGTATATTCCGCCGTATAGGGTGACTGAGTGTATAAGACGACCCCCTACTTTCAGGCGCCCACGAGCTGGCTGAAAGCCTCTGTGCTGCTGGGCTTTCAAAGTTTGAGCTCAGCGCCTTCCTCTTCCAGAACTCCAGCCAGACCTTACTAAGCCATCCCAGCACTCATCCATCCATGTGCCCAGGCGAGGAACGCTGAGGTTATCGATTGAAAGGCCGGCATCTGCACTGGTGGCGGTACGACTTTTTGCTTCGCGGCATTGCTTTTTCTTTTGTTTTGGTTTTTTAGTATACCTGCCGTATAAGACGACCCCTAATTTTTGAAATATTTTGGGGGGGGTTTAAAAGTCATCTTACATGCCGGTAAATACAGTATTCTTGTATGAACCATACAAATGTATGATACTGTCCTGAATATAATAAGATCTATTGTACATAGCTAATAAAGTGAGCTACCAGTTTAGCCTCTACCATGCTTTTTACAGTTCTCATTAAGCTTCTCAGATGGATCCATAAGTGTGACATAAAGGATTCATGTCACATTTATTCATTGTAGCAAATATGAGTTTTGAGAAACTCAGCTGTTCAGCAAAGGTAGCAGAAAGTTTCTCTTGAGCAGCATTCAACTCCTAATGAGCACATGCACAATAAATTGTTTGCTATTGCAGCCTTCCAACATACTCTTATGATGTTTCCAGAGTAATGTTTAGTGTCATAGGTTTTTGAGTAACTATCAGAATATTGTTAGCCTCTCTTTGACAAAGAAGAGCTTTATCAGAAGGTTGACATGTTCAAGATGAAAGTGCCATGGATATTATATTCCCTGCAAACCTAAATATACTCCAAATATGAAGTCTTCCAAAGGCGTATGGAGGGGAGTTTAGATCCACTGGATTTGGAGGGGGGGGTCCCTTCTAAATTATGATCACTGTATTTGATTAGAAGTTCTAAATGTTTGTCTGGAATACCACATTTTTAACAAAGGTTGTTAGTAGCTGTTGTAGTGGGAGTGAGTGGGTGTTTCCAATCAATCCATTGCCCTATAAAATCATATCCCAAGGGCCATTATCTTGGACACTTACTGTTTTAATTATTAGTTGTATATTGTAAGTTTATGCAATTGCCTTGGAAACTGAAGATAGAATAAAATATTTTTTAAATAAACTAAGTGGCATTCTAGAATTCCTGAGTCATCCATCGCTGATTCTCCTGTTCTTTCTCCAACTGCTTTCTTTTTAGGTAGTGGGCAAAGAGTTATTGTGATAATTCTAACCCATTCTTTCTTTCTTTTTTCCCTCCTCTTTGTCTTTTGTCTTTTTCTTCTTCTTTTCCAGGAACCTTCTGCATAATTTCACTGTGCACATGTGTAGCCGGAATCAACTTTGAGCTCTCCCGATATCCCCGGTACCTGTATGGACTCCCTGATGACATCAGTCATGGCTACGGCTGGTCCATGTTTTGTGCATGGGGCGGCCTAGGTCTTACTTTGATCTCTGGCTTCTTCTGTACCTTGGCCCCTTCTGTTCAACCTGTCCCCAGGACCAATTGCCCCAAATCGAGACCTGAGAATGGGACAGTGTGCTAAGACAAGTACAAACAAGCCTATAAATATACATATTATACATATATAAATATAAATGAATATACATAAACATATATTATATATAGATCTCAAACAGTTGCCAGTGCCATGGTAGAGTGGAGTCCAATGAGGCTCCTACATCTTCTCTACAGCTTTGTATTGTTCTTGTTATTTTTCCTGGAGAAAGGAATAGCTTTTCTGCAACATTGCTCTTCCACTCAGCTCCTTAAAAAAAAAAAATCTTCAGCATCCCACTTCAAACATCAAGTGAACATATTGTTGCATCTGTCTGCCGCCAGTTGTCTGTGATATGATAGGGAAGGGAAAAGGGTATCTTGGTGCATAAGGTACTTTTACAAGGAGTAACGAAAAGAAAAAACACACTGTGTTGGGGAAACATAAACAGTAAATAAATGAACCTCTTCAGTTACCTCTCTAAAATCTAACCTTCTCAAGGCCATCTTCAGAATCCCTCTGCTCACACATGGATATTTTTTATTTTTTTTAAACCTTGCCTGTTACATCAAAGAGGAATGAACCAGAAGATTAAGGCAGGTTTCCCTTTATTTGTTAAACTTTAAAAAAAAAAATCAGCCAAGATTCTTACAGAACAAAACTTCAAGTGAGGATCTTTGAGTGGATGCTTTGACAATGCTGTTTCAACTTCCCTCTGCCTTACAGCCAGGCTTAATTGACATGGCTGAACTGTTGGCAGAAATGCAAGAGAAAGTCTAACTGAAATGCTGTGATGCATTATAACTCCCCCTCCATCCCACCTTTTTTTTTTCAAAAAGAGAGAGAGAGAAAGAAAGAAAGAAAGAAAAGTAACCCTGGCGTTTTCATGTGATCTTCTACCAAATTCTCCTCACTGTGATTGCAACAAAAGGTGTCAAGACTTATGCATGGATGAGGAAAAGCCTGTTTGGAGGCTGCACGTTTCATGGTCTGGATTTGGTTCTGCCTCTGATCTCGCCTTGCCTTGGTACATCAAGAACCATCTGATAGTGGATAGAAGCCATTGTGGGTGGTAAGAGGTGGGAATGTGGGCTTTGTGGTTGTTTGATCATCAAGTTGGCTGTGCAGGAGGAGTTTGGGCAGAGATTGTCGTTGTTGTTATGCCATTGTTTTGTTAATCACAATCATGTGGGTAAAAGCCATTGCAGTGATAGGGGAATTCTGAAGGGATGGTAATAATAAGGATTGTAATACATGGTGCTCCTCCTTATGTCCATGTGCACCAAGCACAGATATCCGTGCGGTTATCATAAACTACCTGATTTTCTGAGCCTTCTATTTGCCGCCCAGAATTGTTTGCTATGAGATGGGTGGCAAATAAATTCAATAAATAAACAAAGATGAGAAAACGTGTAAACCCGAAGGCATTGAAGGGAGAGAAAGGAATTCCATTCCTCATAAAAACCAACACTTTTGATTGTGATTTGATAATTCCCCCACAGGGGTATTGTAAGGTGTGGTTAAATAAGTCAAACTGGCAGCTGAAATGTTGTGATTGAAGATTTGCTAGTTTGTGTGTGTGTCACCCATTAAAAATGGATGGAATTTCAACACACCTTTGTGGCCATCAGTTTGACTTTGCCCACCAAGCCTGCCCCTACACATACATACTTTTCACCTGCTTCCTCTCTTCTCCTTATTTCTTACTATTTCCCCGCTTATTTATACCTGAGTCCTCCTATTAAATATCCATGCTAAAGAACTGGAGACAGCTAGGGTAACGAAAATAACAACTTACGATCCAGGAAAAAAAAAAAACCTGTGATCTGATTAGTCCTTATGGAGATTGGTATAGAGAGGATAATCAAGACAATGGAGAAGACACACATACTAATTGCATATAATAATGAACTTCAGAGGAAAATAGTAGCGTAACATTGGAGGATGGATTTGCCAAAATAGATGAACCACACTTCTATTTTTAGTACCTCGTGACATAAAATAAAACTACCACTACGGAAGTATCCTTTCCTTTAAAGACAAAAAGAAAGCACAGATAGCACATAAACAGTCTTTCCAACTATATTCTGAAGTATTTAATCCAGGTAGCAACACCTTCTTGATGTCTCTTTTCATCGTAGCTACATGTGCAGATAAACCATGTGGTTACAATGTGTGGGTCTACCACTCAGCCTTGGATTAACCATTAAGCACATGCTTTTAGGGAACCAAGAGAAGGGGGCACCACATCATTTTCCCCTCCCAGCCAGTGGTGGGATTCAGCCAGTTCGCACCTACCCGGGAGAACTGGTTGTTAACTTTCTAAGCAGTTTGGAGAACCGGTTGTTGAAAGAAATCTCCTTTTGTTTTTTTTCCCCACTTTACAGGGCTAATTCTGTAAGGAAGGCAGGAAGGAAACATTCTGGTGTTGTTTCTAGCCTAATCTTTATTGCCCTGCTTCTTTCATGGTTGCATCTGACTTTAGTTTTCAGTATTGAGCCTTAATGTGTCAGTTAAGCAGTGGAGGGGTCAAGGGCTTAGGCCATCAGTTGGCTTTAATCCAGTCCTTCTACCATATAAATGAATGAACTGCATAGTTTCTCTCCTCAAAAGCAGACCTTTGGAGTGCCTGTAAGGGCATTTCCACCAGCGTCAGATTCTACCTCTGGACCCAGAATTTCAGTCATGCTACTCTACATGTGTCTTTAGTGCTGAGATGAATCAGAAACCTCATGAAAGGACCCTCCAGATGGCTAATGGGGGAATGCAAAACTTGGTGGTCTTGTCACCATCCTTGTTTTGCAGTAAAAGTGGGGAGGACCCTAAAGACTGCCCAAGGAAGAAGAAATAGCAAATATATATTGAAGAAGTTGAGGGAATGGTAGAAAGGTGTCACAAAATGGAGGACAGCCTGGGGAATGGAAAAATAGGATGAAGTTTTCCCCTCTCCAGGAGACGTTACAGGGTTGGACTCAGAATTAATTGGTTCAGTTGCAGAAGATCTCCTTAAGACTGACAGTGAATTAGGGGGACAGTGGAATGATGCTAATCCTGCATCAGGCCAGCCCACGTAAAGAAGGTTTATTATTTAGTGGATCAAATCTCATTTATTTACTGAAGCAATTGGAGGAAGATGGTCTTGTATAGCATGAGGTTTGTTGAAATTAAATTGGATTAACAGAGTCAAAGCATGCCATAGGAATAGGGGGGCAGAGAAAATCCCTACAAAATTGAAGTCCTTGTATCCTTTCTTTTGGCTGAAGAAAACCTCCAATACATATTTAGCTTGTGCAATGTAAAATGAACAAAAATGCACAGAATATTATACTTGCTGCAGAGCACAGCAATTGGATTCAGTAGCAGCATAGAATATTTCTCATGTGGAAGCAGTTCTTCTATCCATTCTCTAAAGCTGCAGGCCCAATGCCTATATTTTACATAAATTCAGGGAAATTAGAATCTGAGTAACAAGGTCAGTCAAGTCTCCTGCAACTCAAGCTCAGTCCTAGTGACTTACTCCAGTTTCCTTGATTTTAACTGCAGGAGGTTAAAAAAATGTAATTGGTGCTGCAGACAGTTTCAGAAGCAAAGCAGAGTAAAGGAATTGCCAGGAAAAAAAAACTTTCATGTTGAAAATCTCAGTGGGGAGATAAGAGATCAGTTGGGAATATGAATATCCACCACCTTTTTAATGTTGGCAGAAAATTGGAATATGAAAACTGGAATAAATAAATGCCATTCTCTGTGCCTGCAATTGATGCCAGACTTCTCCAGCTTATTACCATCCACCTATTTTAAGAGTTGGCTATTTTAAGAGTTTCATCCCAAGGTAGGCTTCCTTAAGAAGAAGCATTACCTGTGTGTAACACAAGGACTTTCTGTCTATGGGGTTAGGATGTTTTGGGTTGAATTTTATAAAATGTTCAATCCCCAATATTGAAATAAGAGTCAAATGGTCAGGTGAGGAGGACTGGAATTCTAAAACCAGGTTGAATGAGCTAAATTATTTGTGGCTCTCAAGAGACAGCAGGAAACTCAGATTCTGCATGTGAGCCATTACTATTTTTACAGAAACAGTCCATCAGTTGAGTGCCTTTTTTCCATACATTTGCCATTTATTCATCAATTTGCTCCTTTTTAAAAACATACAAAATATTAAAATGAGAGGATTTTTAGGTTTTCTCCTTAAATAACTCTACTTTAAGATCTTAATGTGGCATCTACACTATGAGATAAGAGTCTTGTGGCACATTAAAGACTAAGCGTATTAAGGCATAAGGAATAATGATTCTTCAAAATGTCAGCCATTTATGTGCTGTAGAGCAGATGACAATGTCTGGCAGGTCATCAGAGCATCAGGACACCCACCAGACCCAAATGAATTATTGGGCCAGAACAGGGTACTGTTGGTAAAATGGTCTTGCTATCTTTGTCACAGCAGCACAGGAAGTCCATCCTTGTACAAAATTGCATTCTGAGAAAAAACATTTTCATGAAGAATTCAGAAGAAAAGTGGCAAAAGTTCTTTTGGTTCAACTGATGAGGCATAATCCACCACCAATATTTTTTTAAATGATGTTATTAACAAAACAAAAATGAAAACTAATGCAAACTAAAAAGAGAACAAAAATCAAAAATAGTGGAAAAAGGAAAAAATGGAAAGAAAAATGAGAAAGAAAAATAAGAATATAGTTAAAGAAAAAGAAGAGAAATGTATACTGAAATGACTTTCCCCTTCATCATAGCAAGTGTAAACAATTTTAATAACTTATCACCTTCTCCTAAAATATAATAAATCACCCCTTCTTCCCAAATCTCATCTTCTATGTTTAAACAAATCCTTAAAAATTCATTGTTTCAGTCCTGATCAGCCAAACCCATTAAGGGGTACCAGAGATAAGAATATATCTATTTTAACCTTGATCAAATAAACCAACTTTGTATTTCTTCCTTTTACTTTAAAAATCTGAACGTCAAATAATGTCCTAAAACTGTTCCATAATATATTTAAAACATAGTCTGTCTATAGAAGCAGATCCTCTTAAAATTAATTTCTGGTTTGATTGTTCAAAACGATCCTTCAGCATTTCCAATGTTAAAACATTGTTGCTTCATTCTGTTTTAGTCAAATGTAAGTATTTTTCTCCCTTAATTGTAATCTTCTGTTCTTTCTGGTTCCTTCTGGTGTCCAACCTTCAAAATCTCATATTGTATATATAAGTATATGTTAAGAGAATTTAAAACAAAAGCTATTTCCCATAAGGATTCTTATCATTAATTCTAAAAATATATTTCCAATCTATATGGCCCTGTACTCCATTTGTAACTTTGCAAAATCAAAGTTCTAATCATTTTTATTGTTTATTCAAATATATTTTTAAGTTTTTAAATTAGTATTTAAAACTTATGGAACTGAAGATTGAAGGGAATTTACCAGTGCAATATAACCTATCAATCCTAATAGCTAAAAAGCAGTTAAAAAGCAATTTCCAAAAGTGATTGGAAAAAGAAATATGTGAAGAAATATGTGAACCCAGTGTCCATTTGAATAAGTAAGATGGTTCATTCTACCATCTCCCACAGCTCTAAACCTACCAGTGATCACTACACTGTGGTCTTCTTATAAGGGCCAACTCTGTGGAGCAGTTGTGAGTGATCTCATATCCTCTCCTTGTCCAGAGAGGAATTACCAAGACTCAGTCTATTTGCTGACTCTTCATTCCACTGTGGTTGCTTTTAGTGAAGCTGTTTTCAGTGCACTATTTCTTTCCAAGAAGGCTGGCACCTCCAGTAATTACAATGATGATCACCACTACTCTAAGTAAACTCTTACAATAGGGAAGTAGTATAATCTATCCCTGGTATTTAATAACTGATAAAATAATAATAATAATAATAATACATATTCAGCAAAACTAAATCTAGGTTTAAAAGCATTAAACAGGTGAAGTGATTTTCTGAGATGTTTTGTAGGCAATACCAATTATATACGCTATGATTATGCTGAATATTTAAGAAGTAGGAGGTCTCATTACAACTGCATAAAACTTCCACTTCACAGGAGCTGTACTCAATACATAGCTTAACACTCAATACTAAAATAGGTGAAGATACAATTCTATGAATTCGGTTGTCCTTATCTGTGACACCTTGGATTTAACCTGTGAAACACATTGAACTTTTAAGATTTTCAGGCAGATGGTAAGAAAACTTAGCTTAGAGATGGTCAAACTTGGTAAAGGTATTGTTGACAATCAGTGGTGGGATTCCAAATCTTTTCCTACCAGTTCTATGAGAGAGCGCTTTGCGCACGAGCCTAATGCATGCTTCGTGCATGCATGCAGCACTCAAAGACTGCTCTCGGTGTCAGCGCTGGTGAGCTGAGCTGTTTTTTAGCTCAGCTGAGGCACGGCAATCTGCTCTGCTGCACGAATCGGCTGAGCTAAAAAACAAGGGAATATAGGACAGGGAACGACAGGGGCAGGAGGCCAGGGCCAACCAGAGGTGGTATTTGCCGGTTTGCAGAGCTACTCAAAATTTCTGCTACTGGTTCACCCGAACCAGTCCGAACCGGCTGAATACCACCTCTGCTGACGATGCTCCCATGAAGTGGGAACTTCAACGAAGAAAAAGAAGAAATAAAATAGGTTTGTAAGACTTTAAAAAGTAAAGAACAGAAAGTTGCCACCTCTGATCTTAAGAAGTCACAGGGCTGTCCTCTTTTACCTTTTCCTGCTCACATTTTTCCTAAGCAAGAGCTCTAGGTTTAAGGTCTTCTGCTTTGTGTTTGCATAATTGTTTCCTACACTGTAGGAACATATGAGATGCATTTGGTCTGTACCTAGTCTAGTACCCTGCTAAAGGCAACTCTGATGAGAATATATTTTAATTGAAGTGCCACCCTGAAGTTAAATGAAAGTCACAGATGTACTTGTATATGTGCATATTTGTATGTAGATGTATATATGTAATTTTTGAAGAATTTCAAAGTGTTCAGGTAACCTTATAGAATATTACTGTTTGGCTAAATGTGTTTAATGATGAATCTGTGACCTCCCTTGATTTATTTGGGGGAAATATCTTACAGTGAAATCAAAATGGCCACCCTCCTTTATCTTAATCATAACTGGGGGTGGGTGGGTGAAGGAACTAATATTGTAGCATGAACCTGAAATATTTGGGATGTATAGTATACCTCCTATACTGTAGAACACTGCAGGTTCATTTTAAGGATCTCGTAGTAAAGCTGAATCTACACTACAAAATTTTAATCAGATTTATGCTCGTTTGTTATCGCTTCTCCCAAAGCCATTAGGGAACTGT